GATTCTAAAATAGTGGCTTTACACACCTATTACCATTTAACCCTCATAACACTTCTGCAAGGTAGGAATTATTGTCCATATTTTACAAAGAGATGGAGGCTCAAAAGGGCAAGTAAATTGGCCTGAAGTGACATAGCTTGTTCAGTGGCAGAGGTAGAAGAGATTTGAAATTGCTTTGTAAAGTGCTTAAGCCCAAATACTCATCACCATATAGCCTTGACCCACAGGATGTCAGAGACGGGGAAGTCACAGACACTAGGAGGGGTCAAGGAGGTCAAAATCAAGAGTGGAATCCACCGTTTTATCATTTGGCCTTTAATGCAACAGCAGGAAGTTAAAAGGTGGAATCTGACCATTTGCATTGATTTTTCCATGTTTCTCATGTTTCCTTTCCCTGGATCCACATTCTGTGGTTTATAGTACATGTTTCTGCCTCCCCTGATTGGTCTAGGGACCCTTCTAAATTCCCTTATCTGGAATGTTAATCTCCACCCTGCAAGTTCTCTTGGTCTCAGTGTATCATATACGACATATCCACTCTACCAACGCTAGTTGGAAAATTTAGCCTACAGAGTAGCCTCCAACTTCTCTGACTTCCTTTCCCCTGCTGCCCCTTAGCATCATCCCTCCAGCCCACTAGGACAAGGTTAAGACACAGGCAGGAGGTCACAGCATTCCTAAACACTGTAAAGCTGTAGGCTAAGCAAAAATTTCAATTCTAATAAGACATTCTAATGACAAGGAACTCGAAAACTCCTCATCCCTTTTTCTTTGGTTCTGAAAGAGGCCATGACTCAGCCTGGTCAAACACCCATACAGATTCTACCTGTTAAACAACAAATAAAAAGAGCAAGGACCCTTTTCAGATATTCAGACTTAAGTGGAAATTTACACCGCTGGCCTACAGCCCATTGCTGATAAAACGTTTTCCCTTAGCCAGAAAATTCTGGCAACTCCTCCTTCTCGGGTTCTATTTGTAGATTCAGCAGATGCACCAATACCTTTCCTCTTCTCAGGGCCAACCTGTCAGTTACCTAACTCCCTCTGGTTTTCCTTGGATACCACACTTTGCCTAGCAAGTGCTTAATTGCTGCTTTAATGCCAATTTAATTCTCTCTCCATTATTCCCTGAACTCTGACAGCCCCATTGCATTTCTCCCCTTTAATGTTTAATGCGATGATGACTGTTGCTGATCAGGACTAAATTTTACCCTAGGATGCCCAGGGAATAAATGTTTTTATTAAGAGTACAAGAGAGGGAAAGCCATTCTGAAAAACAGAAAAGATTCTTGTGATGTTCCTCTGGAGACTCATTGAGCGGAGAGCAGAGCTGACTTGTGGTTATTATTTGATCAGCTTGAGCTAATCTGTGTTGATGCCTCCTGCCAAGTCCTACCATTTGAATGTGATTTCCCATCTACTAATACATAATGTATAGATCTGGATATAGGCAAATCAATTATCCTGCTCCTAAGAAGCAAAGACAAACTAATGGAAACATTAGCCTAAGACTGCAGGAAAATTGCAGTATTGAATACCTAGGTGTGTGTTTTATAAGCATGTATGTTGGTGGGGAGTGAGCCGTCAAAGAGGAGGGAGGCAAGGAAAGGGGTTCAGAGAACAAAAAGGGGAAATGAGAGGCAAAATCACAACACCTGAGGCCACAATGACCTGCCTGTTTTGTATGGAGGACATCTGATCATAAACACAAAAATTCTTGTAAAACAATACCCAGACGATTCCAGGAAGCTTCGCTTCCTTGTGTTAAATTATCAGATGCAGCAATATATGTATTTAGCTCTATTGAGCCAAACTAAGGATCGGCATGAACATACACTGGAGAAATGATGAGTAACAGGATGTCCTAGGGAAGATTGACTCTGCCATGCTTGAATTCTTCAGTTCACAAGAAATCTGAAAACTGATGGCACAGATACAATGTTTTAATATCCATGGGGGGTTAGAGGATGTGAAATTGAAATGGGTTGGGGGTACTCTTGAAAGCTGGCTGAAGAGTAATTGCAAGTGTGTAAAGCTAGTTTAAATCCATCACTCTCCAAAGATTGATTTTTAAAACTTTAAAAACACATATTGTGCCCTTGCAGTTATTTGAACATAAAAATGTTACTGGATGGGTTACTTTTCAAAAAATACAGACCTTCTAGAAGAACTTAATCAATAATTTTATGATTTAAGACACTTATGAGAAGCAAGTTTGCATATTATTTAGAATTCCTAGGACTGAACTCATACAGTGAGCTAACATACAGTAGGTACTTAAGAAATGTTTAAATGGAAAAATAGATGAGTGAATGAATAAAAGGCATAATATGCATTCAGCTACGGCCTTCCATAGGCATGTGGGTGTAGGCAGATAATACTTTAAAATATTTTAAAATTATAATAACATTTTTACAAACATATTTTAAATGTTTATGATAGCTTTCCAGTATTTGGTAGTGAATTTTATCTGTCTCTGAATAAAGCAGAAACCAGATGAGAGCCCCATGTTTGTGAGTGGAATACAGAAACGACTTTGTGAACTTTTCATTTCGGAAGTCATAACCCTTCCAGCTGATATGAGACTCAACTATAACACACCATTAAGAAAATACAAGTGAAGCAGACATCAGCTGACACAATAGGATCTGTGATACTGAGAGTGGAATTTGGACAGGTAAGGAAAATTCTAGATGGTTTAAAGGATACAGAAAAACATATTTGCTCTAAAACAAATACTGCATTTTGATGGTGACCTGTAAAGCTCAATGTCTTAAATTTTTGTCAGGCAGAATACTGCAATGATGGAAACACAAATGTAGAAATATATTTTTATGCTACCATTACAAAGAGCTCCCATGTATTGAATGCCCTGTCCTATGCACTTTGTGTGACTCATTAAACACTTAAAACCACCTGAAGCTGAGTGTCACAATCTCTGTATTATAAATGAGAAAACTGATGTACAAAAGGTAAACTAGTTGTCAAAGGTAGCATAGCCATTGTGTGACAGAGTTAAGATTTGAACCCAAGTCTGATGCCAAACCCAGCTTTCAATCTCCATGAATACTGCCCTTTGTATCTAGGAGAACACATGAATACAGAAAATTAATGTTTTATTAGTTTTCACTAATCCATTTTAGTAACACACCTTCAGATTTACAGCGTCTGTGTGAAGGTCCTATAAGGGCTACTGGGGATATGAAGGCAAATAAACCATAGTCCCTGTCCTCAAGAAACTCATAATCTAAAACAAGAAATAGACGTTGGCATCATGAAATGTAGCACAGAGGCCCAGTGGCTTTCCTGGTAATACAACTGAATGAGGAAGTAACTGCCTATGTAGAGAAGGTATCAAAATGATTTTTTTTTTTCATTTAAGAACCATGAATATTCTTAACTGGCATAATCAATATTAAGTATTAATATTAAGTACAAATTTGCCCAGTGAGGTAAATTTCTAATTCTGTTGTTATGATTTGTTTCTGTGCAGAATCTCACACAACTTTCAAATGTTTTATGAACTATAGTATGCCATATCAAAAATTAAACTGTAAGAAAAGACTCCTTAAAAAACTGAGGCAAAAAAGCACTAATACCTTTAACAACACAATGACAATTATTGCCAACAATAAAATTCCACTATTTTACTTAACTAAACCAACACTTTAGGAAATACACACAGCATTCTTTATTATAAAGTTGACTCAGTCTTTATATAAAATGAAAGTGATTTTCAACACGTCATTAAACTGCAGGCTAATGTATTTACAGATAAACAATTAAAAAGCAAAAATAGGTCAAAGAACACTGAATAACTTATTGCAAGAGAAAATATGTTCTTGATAGTGACCATGCAAAAAAACTTTATGTATACCTTAGTATCTAATAGTGACTGACATGCATAATAAGAAAAATATCAGCCAGGTGTAGTGGATCACACCTGTAATCCCAGCACTTTGGGAGTCCAAGGCAGATGGATACCTTGAGTCCAGGAGTTAGAGACTAGCCTGGGCAACATGGAGAAATCCGTCTCTACAAATATACAAAAATTGGCCAGGTGTGGTGGTGCACCTCTGTGGCCCTAGCCACTTGACAGGTTGAAGTGGGAGGATGGCTTGAACCTGGGAGGCTGAGACTGCAGTGAGCTGAGATTATGCCACTGTACTCCATCCTGGGCTACAGAGAGAGACCCCATTTCAAAAGAAAAAGAAAAATGTCTACAGGCAGCTCTATCAACACAGAGAAATTCTTATTAGGAAAAGAGCACTGTGAACCAAAATAATTCAGTTAGAAAGATTTATTGTAACTATAAGAGAGATTTAACTCAAAGATATTTGCAGAGATGTAAATTTCAGTGAAGTTTTGTAGCCATAGAGAACTTTTCTCCGGATTTTATAAAGAATTATTTACCTTATTAAAGGCTATATATGAAGGCTAGACAAAGAATTCTTAGATAGGTACAAAAAGCATAATCTATCAAAGAAAAATTGATAAAAGAAAACTTTTATTTAATAACAATTGAGATTTTTTTTTCAACAACACTGTTAAGAAAGCAAAAATAAAAGCCATAACCGGGGGGAAATATTTGGAAAATATACATATCAGAAAATGAACTGATATCCAGAATATATAAAGAACTCTCACAACTTAATAATCAGAAACAACCCAATTAAAAATGGAAAGGATTTAGACACTTTATCAAAGAAAATAAATGAATGGCAAATAAGTATATAGAAATATGCTGTATATCTCGTGATTTGTTGAACACCAACTCATACCTAATAATTTCATTAGTTGTTAGGAAAGTGCAAATTAAAACCACAATGAGATATTACTACACACCTGTTAGAACGGCTACATTAAAAAGACTGACCATGCTACATGTTGGTGAGGATGTAAAGCAACTGTATTTCTCACACACTGCTAATAAGACTGTAAAATCCCTGTCTACCCTTAGACCCGCTGCCCAGCACTCCTGCAGTTCACGCCCTCAGACCATGCCTGCAGGCATGCTCATGTCCACCCACCTGAAAATGCTCGCAGCCAGCCTCCTGGCCATGTGCGCAGGGACAGAAGTGGTGCACAGGTACTATCAACCGGACCTGCCCATACCTGAAATTTCACCAAAGCCTGGAGAACTCAAAACGGAGCTTTTGGAACTGAAAGAAAGAAAACACAAAACTCAAGTTTCTCACCAGAAGGAACTTAAATAACTATGCCAAGAATTCTGCAAATATTATTATAAGTCTTAAATATGTATTTCTTAATGCATCAAACACTTAGTCTAATGCTAACTGCAAGTGGAGATGCTCAGTGGACGTTTAGCTGATACCTTGAAATTTAATCATGGTTTAACTGATATTTCTTGAAAACTGCCAAAGCACATATCATCAGCTTCATGAACATGGTTTGAAAGATGTTCAGTCTTGAATATAATGTGAAATAGAATATTTGTAAGTCTACGATATGGGTTGTCTTTATTTCACATAAATTTTTTAAAAATCATTTAAAACTGGCTGGGCACGGTGGCTCAAGCCTGTAATCCCAGCACTTTGGGAGGCCGAGACAGGTGGATCACGAGGTCAAGAGATCGAGACCATCCTGGTCAACATACTGAAACCCCGTCTCTACTAAAAATACAAAAAATTAGCTGGGCATGGTGGCGCATGCCTGTAATCCCAGCTACTCAGGAGGCTGAGGCAGGAGAATTGCCTGAGCCCAGGAGGCAGAGGTTGCGGTGAGCCAAGATCGCGCCATTGCACTCCAGCCTGGGTAACAAGAGTGAAACTCTGTCTCAAAAAAAAAAAAATCATTTAAAACTAAAAAAACAAAATGTAAAATCACGCAACACTTTGGAAGACAGTTGGCAACTTCTTAAAAAAGTTAAATATACAATCAGTACATGACCCAACTATTCTAATTCTAGGTAGTTATGAAGGGAAATGAAAGCATATGTGTACACAAAAACTTCATGAATGTTCATAGTCACTTTATTGGTATTAGCCAAAACCGGCAGGAAAATGCTTATTAACTTACAAATGAATAAAGTGTGGCATGTCTATTCAATAGAATCTTACTTAAAAGTAAAAAGGAACAAATTATTGATGCATGCACCAAGGATGAAGCTCAAAAGCTATATGCTAAGTGAAAGATGCCAGATTTAAACAGAACATACTATATATGTGACATTTTAGAAAAGACAAAACTACAGTTAAAGAAATGCACAAATAGTTGCCAAAGGCTTAAGAGTTGGGGGAGGTGGAGAAGATTAACTACAAAGGGACATGAAGGAAATGTTGTGGGTGATGGAACATTTTGATGTACATTTTGATTGTGGATGCAGTTATGCAACTGTGCATTTTTGTCAAAATTCATAAAACTGTTTATCAAAAAGGATGAATTTTACAGTATACAAATTATTATTATTATTTCTTTTTTTCGGGGAGTGGAGTCTCACTTTGTCACCCAGGCTGGAGTGCAGGGGCATGGTCTTGGCTCACTGTAACTTCTGCCTCTAGGTTCAAGTGATTTTCATGCTTCAGCCTCCAGAGTAGCTGGGACTACAGGCATGCACCATCACGCTAATTTTTGTATTTTTTTCTTTTTTTTTATTTAGTAGAGATGGGGTTTCACCATGATGGCCAGGCTGGTCTATAACTCATGACCTCAGGTGATACGCCTCCTTGACCTTCTCCCAAAGTCCTGGGATTACAGATATACGCCACCACACCTGGCCTCTTACTGTATACATATTAAACATCAATCAGCTTGACTTTAATAAAATAAAATACATGTTATATTTATCTGACTTACGTTTAAAGTTTAATAACAGAAAAGTATTTTATACAACCTGGATTCCAAATAGGATTGCCATTATGTAGTAAACCAAATATTATCATTTATTCAATAGCAAAAACAAAATTGCTTCCTCCACTTATGAGTAAATAGTTTTATGTTTTTTAAAATAATTAATGATGAGATGCTAAATCTCAAAAATTCCTCCCCTGTAAAAGAATGCATACTAAGCTAAACGGAGGTTTTTCCATTATACACCTTGGAGTTGATCATTCTCAGCTAATCTTTTGTCACCTTGAGAAAGCCCCAAATTAAATACCTCTCTTAGGAATTGTAAAACATAGCAATCTGAACCAAGTGGATTCCACCAGTTACATTTCTTCCTTCTCAGAGTGAACAAAATATGGCAATTAGTGGGAGCACCCTTTATATAATTCTAATTTTAAGGATCATTTTAACCTACATGCCTGACATGTTACCTCTGGTCTGTCTACAGAACACTCTAATGAGCAGAACTGAAAGAAGAGTCATGCTTTCAAGGGCGAACCTACTGAATAACTGCAGCAAATACACACTCATGAAGACTGACACTCCCTAGTTGATTCCAGCTCACTGTGTGCAATCTGAAAACTAAGCAATTGGCTCTGACTGAGAAAGAATATAACTTCTCATTATTGTTTCTGAGCTTTCTGAAACAGAGTATCTGGCCTGGCACATGATAGATATACTTACTTCCCTCTGTTTATTTTCATCTCATTGTATGGAATATTTCCCATAGAGGACTCACAAGGGGGAATGCAGGAAGTTGCTTTAGGCACTGGCAGAATGGCCTAATCATTTAATTTTTTGCAGAGCTCATGGAAGGATTCACATCAAGGGAAGAACTGCAGCTGCCCCTAGAGCAGCTGATACTTAGCATGGCACTAGAGTGACACATCCATACATCTTAATAAAGCACCATGCATTAATCTATTAGTAGGAACTCAAGGAAATACTACAGTGGCCAAAACAGAGTGAGCTGTGATAAAGACTAACAAGATGAAAGAGCAAGAAGTATTACAAAGAAACTTAGTAATAATGTTTTCTCTGTTACTCACAAAGAATTCTCTATCTTTGAAATTGAGAAGAATGCTTTACTATAAGGGAATTATTGTTGGAAGAGTCATCTGGGTGTGGGGAATTGAAGAACAGGAAGCTACCCAAGCAAGTCACATCTGTATTGAGGTTACTTTTCCCCACTGGTATACAGGAAATCAGTAGGAACTGCAACTGCCAGCTCCTGGAATTTCAGTAACAGAAAAAATAATGGAGATGCGAAAAACAAATAAACAAAAACAAAAACAAAAACTTAATTTTGTAAAACAGAAAAGCATTATGTAAGTCAAAAGTTGTGGAGGGGACAAATAGAGATGGTTGACCAAGTTCTTTAAGGTCTAGAGTCAAATCTGTTTACAAGCAATGGGGTAGGGTCAAGTGGATGGTAGTCAATAATGGTACTGCAGTGGGAACGTTGAACTTAGCATCAAAACAATTACATTTGATTTTTATTGTATCACTTGCTAGCTGAGTGACCTTTGGCAAGTTCCTAAACTTCTCTGGAATGAAGTAAAACAATGAATATGAGTGTCTGGCACTACCAAACACCAAGTAGAACTTCACTTGATTTGTGCATCTATTGTAGAGACATCAATGCATGCAGTTCAGTTTCATGTGATGAACATTTATTTTTTCATTTGCTCTCATAAGCAGTTGATTGAGATAGCACTCATCAGTCAAGAGGTCAATACTTTTCCTGAGTAGGACCACTCAGGCAGGGTCATTCTTTCAGTCGACCCACTTAAATTCTTAATATACACTCCCTTTGCTTATGTGTACTTACTGGTAAATTACTTTGTAAGCATTCTTATAACTGTTCATGTGTGCATGCCCTGTCTACTCAATTAGGATTATTGACTTATTGAGCCAGAAGGCATTTTAGAGAACTAGGCCAAACTCTTCATTGTTCAAGTGGGAATATTGAGGTCCAGGGAAGTGCAATGACACGTCTCAAGTCATGTGTTGATTAGTGACTAAGTCAGTATCAGGATCCAGTTCTCTTGGCTTCCTAGTCAATGCTTTCTTCTCCCATATTCTCACTCCAAACTATTCTAAAAATAAGCATTTGAGGACAATAACAAGTTTGGCTGCTATTGTTGCTTATTCCTAGTGTTTAGCACACTTTTGTACAACATAATAACCAAAGACGTTCAAAACTTTCAACATTTATAAATTATTCTATTCAGTAATACCAGAAATATTTTCTAATGCTCGATTTGTTTGATAAATCACATTCTTTCTTCATGAGGTTAATAATACTATCACAGATACAGGTATCATTATGCTTTATAAAACGAAGTTAATAATACTATCACAGATTCAGGTATTGTTATGCTTTATAAAACACTTTCACATCTATTGTCATATTTGATCAGTTTAGAAACCTTGGGGAAAAATCAGAGTAGGCAGTCTTATTCTCATTTTACATTTAAAGAAATGAAAGTCCATAGAGGCTAAATAATTTTCACAGCTACTAATTGATAGAACTGGCATGCCAACTAACTCAGGTTTTCTGGTTTAATAACTCCACTGTTCTATGCTGCATCCCATTTACAGGTACACTTTTAATAAACTATTACCTTTGATTATTTGTATTGTATTGGTCAGATTCTTTAGTGCACAAATGACTAAAACCCAATTAAAACAAGCTTAAAAAAAAAAAAAAGTCCAGGGCCAGGGAGGATTGGCAGAATGCAGAACTCACTGGCTTATAATCACTAAACCATAGAGAAGGCAACAATGCAGGAGCCTGAAGAACAGTCCTAATTCTAATCTTCATAGCTTTATCACCAAGAGAAAGCGGACTTTTCCTTCCCAGTCCTGTTCAGAAATCATAAGGAACAATTTTAATAGAGATCAAGGATCAACTTGTATACTATGTTTACCTTTTTTAAACCACTTTATGGAGGTATGATTGACAGGTTAAAAAGCCGTATATATTTAATGTATACAACAATGAATTTGGGAATAAGTATAAACTGTGAAATCATCACCACCAACAAGGCCATAAACATCCAACACCTCCCAAAGTTTCCTGCCATTTCCTTTATTATTATTTTATGTGTGTGTGTGCATCTGGTAAAAACACTTACATAAGCTCTACCTTCTTAGCAAATTTTAAGTCTACAATACAGTATCGTTAGCTATAGGCATTATGCTATATAGTAGATTTCTAGAACTTATTTATCTTGCCAACAGGCAGGTGATGGTGAAAGGGTACAAAGCTTCAGTTATTTCTTAAAGTCTTAGACCAGTCATTTCAGCCAGAGTCTAGTATCAGAAAATCGAGAGATGGAAACTAGGCAGAAAAAAAAAATCAATA